AAATATCCTCGGGTGAGGATAAAAAAAAAAAATGTATTGATTTTGAAGAGAGAGAGGAAAGGGGAGAGAGAGAGAGAAAGAAACATTGATTTCTTTTTCCACTTATTTATGCATTCACTGGTAGATTCTTGTATGTGCCCTGACCGGGGATAGAACCCACAACCTTGGTGTATCTGAATGACGCTCTAACCAACTGAACTACCCAGCCAGGGTCTGATTTCCTTCTTTAGGGTTTAAGTTTATTTTCTCTCACTGGTGTTTCTTACTCTGGCTCTGTGCTAGGTATTAAATAAGTGTTGAACTTAAAAAGAATTGGCAGGGATGCCGAGAGATCACCAAGAAGATACGCATATGGAGTGATGGTGAATTAACATTCTTCATTACCACTCTTGTACGTGGTAACCTATTTGTTCATCTGACTCTAGGTGTGAACCCATGACCTTATGATCTCTGTGCGGCATTCTAGATTGTGGAACACGATATGGAAATACACAGAACAAAATGGTATAGTGTTGTCTCCGATTATGAATTGTGGGTGTGCACTTTTCTTTCTTTTTTATTGTTTTGTTTACCACAGATATTAGAAAATAGAGATAAACACTTATTTCCTTGCTAAGTTAGACCCTGGATTTCACAGAGGAAAACTTGACTACAAACTCAAGTTGGGGCTTTATTGGCTTGCATATTTTATGAGTACTGTGACTGGGTTTCTCTCCAGAAATTCAGCAATGTCTGTGACCCAGTTTTAGCAAGTGTGCAGAATCCCGAGGTGAGTGTGTTGCTAGCCTCGTTCCTGGCTCTGCTTTTCTCTCTGTCCTTGTTTTCCCTTTGTCTTTCTCACCTACTTCTAATTTATGTCATTTGGTCATATTTCACGTACCACGACATCTTTTCTAGAACAAGTTGTGGTAAAAATAAGTAAAATAAATATTGGTCAGAGAGTGTGAACATCCCTGTGTCACGATGATGCTTTTTATCTTATTACTTTCTAAAGCATCAAACAAGTTTTGCTGCATAGTTGCATCCCCTTTGTCCTTAAAGGAGCTGTTTAAAAATGAGCAATTCGTGTGTGTGTGTGTGTGTGTGTGTGTGTGTGACTATAAAAGTATTGTATGAAAATAGTATGAAATTTGGAAATAAGGATGAGTATAAGGAGGACTGTTGTCATTATCAATTCTACATTTTTTTCTAACTATTTATATTCTAATTTTTAACACCAATGAAATAATAATTTATATACAATTAATTTTGTATCCTACTGTTTTCTCAAAAACTATACTGGAGCATTTTTGTCATTAAAAATATGTTACATGCCCAGCTGGTATGGCTCAGTGGATTGAGCATTGTCCCATGGACTGAGAGGTCTCGGTTTGATTCCTAGTCAGGGCACACGCCCGGGTTGTGGGCTCGATCCCCAGTGGCGGGAGTGCAGGAGGTGGCTGATCGATGTTTCTATCTCTCTCTCCCTTCCTCTCTCACTAAAGAAAAATCAATAAAAACATATTTTTCAAAGACAATGTGTTACAGAATGACTACTGGTAATCATCAACGAAATATGCCATAACTTCCTTAACCTTTTTTTATGCTGGACATTGAGGTTGCTTTGGTTCTTTACTATTTTATTTTAAATAATATTGTAGTGAACATCATTATACAGATATCCTTGCCACAGCAGAAAAGTCATCTTCTAATGATTGATTCCTAGAAGTAGAGTGGCAGTATTAAAGACATAAATATAAAAGCCAGGAAAATATTGTTAATAGCTTGCAATGAAGACAGCCTTCTTATGGATGACACCAAAAGTCGCAGCCATAAGGGAAAAGAATGGATGAATTTAGCTCGACTAGTGTGGCTCAGTGGATTGAGAGTCATCCCATGGACTGAGAGGTCCCAGTTCAATTCCTGGTCAAGCCACCTGCTCGGGTGGTGGACTCTGTCCCCAGTAGGGGGTGTGCAGGAGGCAGCCAATTGATGTTTCTATCTCTCCCTTTCTCTCTAAAAAAAAATCAATGAAAACGTATTTTTTTAAAAAAGAATGTATGAATTAAAAAATTCTGTATCAGAAAAACCATTTGCAAATATGACAGACAAGCTGGCTATGAAGAGCTTTCACGAATGAAAAAGACTTGACTTACAGTTTTAAAAAAGATCTCACAAAGGAGGAAAAGCTACAGCCAACAAATATTTGAGAGGATGTTCCATCTTAATAGTCATCAAAGAAACAAAAGTGCAACAAAGATGACATAATATTTTTTAGTTAAAGTCCATCAAAGTGTTGACGAGAGTATTTGGTAAGAATATAAATTGGTATATTTCTGGAAGCAATTTGCCAACTAAAAATACATATACGCTGCCTTGGCTGGTTTAGCTTAGCAGTTGGAGTGTCGCCAGCGGACCAGAGAGTCCCGGGTTCAGTTCCCACTAGGGGCACGTACCAAAAAAATAAAATAATAAAATAAAAAATAAAATAAAATAAAATAATCACTTTTATCCAGAAATTCTATCCTTAGGAATTTGTTTTAAGAGAATTTTCAAACAGGTGCCCAGTGATGTTTACTGTAGCATTATCCATTGATTGAAAAACTGGGAATGACTTAAATGGGGATTTGGTTTAATTATGATATATTCATTCTGTGAACTACTATATATATGTTAAAATTATTATGTAGATAGGAATTTACTGACATAGAAATATGTCCAAGATGTGTTAAAGTACTATAAAAATATGAGTAAATGAATTAATATGCATAGAAAAAATATAAGAAGATATAAACCATAATATTAATTGCATTTTTCTCTATTTAGAAGGTGTATGGCTGATCTTTTATTCATTTTTTCTTTATTTTTCCTGATGTTTTAAAATAAGTTATATCTAAACTGACTAAATAGGAGGGGAAAAAGCAGTTTTCCAAAAGTAAAATTGGTTACAGCAGAAACAAAAATGTGTTTTATCATACTGCTTTTTGTGGTTCCCAAATATTGATTTCAAAGTTAGAGTAGAATTGTTACATAAACCATAACTTATGAAGTCGATTTGCAAAGCATAATAAAGAGAAGCAATCAGCCCTGGCCCATTTGGCTCAGCAGTTTGAGCGTCAGCCTGCAGTCCAGAGAGACCCGGGTTCGGTTCCCGCTAAGGGCGCGTACCTCGGTTGCAGTTTGTCCCCGGCCCTGGTTGGATCATGTGGGTGGCAGCCACTCGAAGTGTCCCTTTCACGTCAATGTTTCTCTCTCTCTCTCCCTCCCACTTTATCTGAACAGAAAATAGAAAAATGTTCTTGGGTGAGGATTAAAAAAAAGAGAGAGAGAGAAGCAATCAGTTCATACCATGTAACATTTAAGAAGGCAAAAAGTCGAGTCCTCCATCTGTTCCGTATACAATGAAAATGAGTTGCATTCATTTGTCACATTTCAAAACCTACTTTTCATTGGGCCCATAATCACAGGCAGGTCCTCATGGAGCCTGCTGGGGGTGCTCTGTGGGGTGTCAGGGGACATCCTCTCCAGCTGTCTTCTGTGGAGGAAACCAAGGCTCCAGGAGGCTGAGTGGTGTCTCAGGAATCTGGTTGGGTGCTGGGACTAGTCACGCACAGGGTTCTTCGGGCTACCTGCTCTCAATATTTCCATGATCTGCATGTCTGAGCATTTGTCAGCAGTGGTTTGTTCTTTGGATTTAAGTATTCTTTGTTTTCCTCTCCAATTCTACAGTGCTAATTCCTTTGGGGCGTCTTCCAATAAAACACAAAAACCAAAATTGACTGAATTTCCCCGTATCTTCCTACCTCTGTACCCTATCACAGGGAAAGGTTGTGTTTCATGGGTATAAGCTCGTGTGTGGGGCTCTAAAAAGGGGAAAAGATGCAGAAAGAGTTCATTAAGGGTCAGTCCAAGACTAAGTCCTTTAAGTGCACAATTTTGCCCAGACTGTGTGAGCACAGCTTTTGAGGAGGATGAAATCATAACTTTCAATGCCAAAGCCTTTAAAAAGCCTTTTTTTTTTTTTGATGGATGGCTCTTGTCCATGTGTTTTAAAGATATTCTTGGTGTTGTGGGTTAAAGCAGACTTTTGGCTTTAAAGAGTAAATTACAAAATGTAGCTTGAGTCATTTTTATTCCATACTTTAATTTCTGAAAAATGTGACTCTTCGAGTTGGTACCCCCATAGGGAAAAATGGTTTGTCTGAGACACAACTTTAGTTTGTCTTAGACACAACTTTAATTTGGGCAAATTAATGTGTAAAAATCTTGTTTTCTTATAAATTAAATTTTATGTAACATTGGTTTTTATTATCAAAGAGATACAGTCACATTTCAGAAAACTCAGATTTAGAAATGGGGGTGAGTTGAACATTTCTCTTCAATACAATGACATTTTGGTATTATTTCCTTGTAGATTTTTTTTCTTATCGTCTGAAATACAATATAATTTCAAGGTTATGGTTCTGGCCAGAATATGGCTGATGAAGCAAAACTTGTTCTATTTTCATCTAATCTGGCTCCTAAATGAGCAGGTGGTCTGTTCTTTCTATTTTTTGTTTGTTTGTCCCCCTCCCACCCCCCGCCTTTGGCAAAACGTGTCAGCTGTTTAGCAGAAGGTGGAAACGGTAAGTCCTTTGAACAGATTTCCAGATTCGGGTTCAGTAGCAACATATATCCTCAGTGGAATGATTCTGCTAAAAGAAATTCTCAAAGTTGAGCTTGGAGGAAATGAAACAAATGTTTGTGAACACAATTCTGAGGGATAGTTGAGTTCCATTTCCTGAGGATAGAAATAAAAAAAGTCAATATTTTCATTCTAGATCCTTGAATTTTTAACTGGGCCCTGTGGTCCAGACCCATCATTCCGTGTTGGTACAACACTGCCCTTTGGCAGGTGTGTTTGGTGGAAGGAAAGTATGTTCTTGCCAGTTTAGTTATTCAGAGAGCTTTTTCCCTCCCCTCCTGCCAAGCCGGGCTCCCATTCCCGTATGCTTATGTTGCTCCATTCTTCTTACTCGCAGAGTACTCGGGTGGAGTTCGACCTGCCAGAATATTCCGTCCGTCGAAGATACCAGGATTTTGACTGGCTGAGGACCAAACTGGAAGAATCGCAGCCCACTCATCTCATTCCCGTAGGTACTAAGTCACCATAGCTTGTTACTTGCCTTTCCTGCATTTTCTTTCCGGAGACTGTCCCCTCAACTCTCACCCCTTAAGTTACCGGGCAGACCTGCCTTACATTGCAGACCAGATTCACTCATCAGAGGTGTATGGATACTGTACAGTATATTTTACCTTTTGGGTTTTGGTTTCTGATTTGCAATACAGTATGCTGGTTTCTCGGGTGGGGTGGGGTAGGTTTTCACTTCCATTATGACAAGCACGGAGAGTTCCAGTTCTCATCTGCTACCTCTCTGAAGACTGTTTCCCCTTCCCGACACTGTTCTTGAGGTTTGGACAGCTGCCACCAGCTGAAGAAGGGTGCCTCCGGGTACAGCGGGCTGGGCTTTCTTTAGACACTGGTAATTCAGGGAGCCAGAACGCAGCAGACAATCCACTCAACCAGTTTTCCATCGAAAAAACAAACCCCAAAGCCACCTTGCCTCTATTTATTTAAGCAGCATGATATTTATCTATTACTTACATCTGCACATTTTAAAACAGAACCAGACCAACCCGGCAGGTGTGGCTCAGTGGTTGAGCACTGACCCATGAACCAAGAGGTCACCGGTTCAATTCCCAGTCAGGGCGCATGCCCAGGGTGTGGGCCGGATCCCCAGTGGGGGGCATGCAGGAGGCAGCCAGTCGATCTTCTCTCTCATCGATGTTTCTGTCTCTCTCCCTCTCCCTTCCTCTCTCTCTAAAATCAATAAAGAAAACAATAAATAGAACCAGAGCAAATAAAATAGAAAAGACTACTTAGAATCAGCATACACATTGAGTACTTTTCTGACTACTTTTTTTAAAAAGCAGAAATAGTAACTATTTACACTCCAGATGTTTCTTGCGGCTTTAGTGGCTTTGGGGCAATTTAGGTCATAAACCTCTTCAGCGGCTGTCGCTTTCAGCAATAACCTTGGTGGAATAATTTTAGCACTACCAATTTCCCTGTTACCACTGCTTCTTCCAGCGCTTCTTTACCCACGGGTGGAAGAGGCTGAATAGATGGGACACTGGTGGTTTTCTTGGTTTTCAAGGCTGAAGCAGCCATGTTGCTGGCGCTGTGATGGGAATGATGGGACTTGGCTGGGACTCTGTTCTTTCTCAGGGACCCTCCCCACCCTCCACCTGCACCCCCAGCCCCGCCAGGTATCCCCTCTGCTCTTCAAGCCTAAAGTTTTGCTTTTCTGTCTTATAATCACTTAAAAATGTGCCCGAAGAAGAAACTGTAGCTTTGAAACCATTGGAACTGTTCCTTAAAATAGAACCTTTACAAAAAACTTAATTTGGCAAAATTGACAGCTAGTGAATTTTTTTAAATAGACTTTTTATTTTAGAACGGTCTTAGAATTCCAGAATTACTGCAAAGTTCGTACAGTGAGTTCTGTACCCCACACTCAGTTTTGCTTGTGAACACTTCAGTGTGGCGCATTCGTCACAGTGAGGAGCCAGTCATGGTACATTATTACTGCCTGCAAGTCCTCTACTCGGGTTTTCCTCTGTCTTTGCCCAATGTCCTCTTTCTGTCCCAGGATCCCATCCAAGATACTGCACTACATTAGTCCTCGGGTCCCCTTAGGCTCTTCTTGATTGTGACAATTGCTCAGGCTTTCCTTGTTTTTGATGACTTTGGGAGTTCTGAGGTTTACTAGTCAGGCTTTTTGTACGGTGTCCCCCAGTTGAGATTTATCTGGTATTTCCCTCATGATTAGACCGGGACAATGCACTTTGTGGAGGAAAAGCACACAGGTTAAGTGACATTCTCATTGCCTCTTATCCAGGGTCCATACTGTCAACAGTATTTATCATGGTTGATGTTCACCTTGATCACCTGACTTGAGGTCATGCTTATCAGGTTTCTCCAGCGTGTGGTTGCTCTTGTTTTCTCCCCCTTTCCACATTCTTTGGAAGGGAGTCACTCTTGATGCAGAGCCGACACTGTGTGCTCAAGGGGAGTTGTGCTCCCCCTCCTGGCAGAGAGTGTATTTCAAGTTTGGTACTTAACCATCAAAGGTTAGATAGCAACCCCTGCTGGTGGAACATAGTAGCACTCATGGGCATCACTGAAGCCAGAACTGAAGGAGAATGAGTCTCCAGAAGCCCCAGAATGATCCAGAGTATCTGTAAGTATGGTTTCCTATGATCAGGGTAGAAACAGTGAGGAAGAAGATATTTTAGAAGCAAGTGGAAACAAATTTATTCATAAGTTCTTAGTGCATATCTGGGCTGGAGAGAAATTTAATATAGGAGAACATCTCTGATTTAAACAGGAAGGTCAAACTGAAAACAAGAAAAATGTTTCCCCTGTAGAAATTAATTTACAGTAACATTGCTGGGAGGTATCTACCTGTTATTAAGCATCGTCTTTGTGTTAGTCTTTTTACAAAGCCTGATGCGTACCCTTGTAAGAAAGACAAGAGACTCCCACCCTGCAGAGTTTATTGTCAGATGGAGACCCACCAAACATGCAGTGTAATTATTGTTTAAATTTTCATCTTTTTTTTTTTATTGTTGGAAGTATTACAGATGTCCCCCTTTTCCTCCATTAACCCTCTCCTCCCCGCTCCCATCCCACTCCTGCTTAAATTTTCATTTATTTCCTTAAAAAATAGTGTCAGTGGGGTAAAAAAGGAGAAACATCTGTAACAAAAACAAAATTTAAAAAAATAGCTTTATTGAGATCTAATTCCTATACCACACAATCCACTCTTTTAAAGTGTACAAGTCAGGGGTTTTTAGTGTATACATAAGTTGTGCCACTATCAGCACAATTAATTTTGGAACCTTTTTATCACCCCCAAAAGCAACCTCCTACTTCTTGCCTTTCACTTCCAAACCCTCTATCTTCCCTGGTGCCTGGCAACCACGGGTCTACTTTCTGTCTGTAGAATTGCCTAGTCTGGGCATTTCATATAAGTAGAATCACACACTTTGTAATCTTTTGTGACTGGATTTTTTTCACTTAGCATATATATATTTTTTATCCTCACCCAAGGACATTTTTTGTTCAGATAGAGTGGGAGGGAGAGAGAGGAAGAGAGAGAGAGAGAAACATCGATGTGAAAGGTACACATCAAGTGGCTGCCACCTGCATGACCGCCACCAAGGTATGCACCCTTAGTGGGAACCGAACCCAGGTCTCTCCCAACCACAGGCCGACTCTAACCGCTGAGCCAAACTGGCCAGGGATCACTTAGCATATTTTCAAGGTTAATCCACGCAGGAGCATGTATCAGTACTGCATTTTTTTTTTATTGTTGAATAATATTCCACTGTGTGAATGTATCCCATTTTGTCTGTCCTCACCTTTGATGAACATCTGAGTCGTTTCCACTTTTTCACTATTATGACTAATGCTGCTGTGAACATCTGTGTATATGTTTTTGTTTTCTTGGGCGTATACCTATTAATATGATTGCTAAATCATGTGTAACTCTATAATGATCCTCTGAGGAACTGCCAGAGTGTTCTCCAGAGTGGCTGCATCATTTTACATTCCCGCCAGCAGTGTGTGAGGAGTCCAGTTTCTCCACGCCTTCATCAGCATTGGTTATTACCTCGTTTTGGTAGTAACCCTCCTAGTGGGTGGGAAGTGGTATCTCACTGTGGTTTTGATTTGCATTTCCTGGCAGATAATGAGGTTGAACATTTGTTATGTGCTTGTTGGCTATTTGATATCTTCCTTGCAGAAAGATCTATTCAGATCCTTGGCCCAACCAAAATTGGGTTGTCCTTTTATTATTTAGTTTGTAATAGTTCTTTTTTTTTTAAATCCGCACCTGAGGATATTTTTCTATTTATCTTCAGATAGAGTGGGAGGGAAGGAGAGAGAGAGAAACACCGATGTGAGAGGGACACATTGGGTGGCTGCCTCCCGCAGGACCTCGACCAGGGCCAGGAACAAACAGCAGTCGAGGTATGTGCCCTTGACCGGAATCAAACCCGCAACTCATCGGTCCAACAGCTGAGCCAAACCGGCCAGGGCTGTAATTGTTCTTTATATAATCTAGACACAGTCCCTTATCACATATATGATTTGCAAAAATTTTTCTCCCATTCAGTGGGTTGTCTCTTTCCTGATGGTGTCCCCAGAAGCACAAAGGTTTTAAATTTCAGTGATGTCCAATTTATCTGTTTTGTTTTTTCCTTTGGCTGCTTATGCTTTTGGTATCACAACTTAGAAACCATGAACTAATCCTAGCTCATGAAAATTTACCTGGGTTGTCTTCTAAGATTTTTATAGTTCTAGCTCTTAAATTTAGGTCTTACACATTTCAAATTCATTTTTGTGCAGTACATTTTTATTTTAAGTAGTGAGGCTGAATATCTTTTCCATGACTTTTTGACATTGGCATTTCTTTTAAAAATGAATTCCTCTTCATTTTTCTATTGTCACTGTTTTTTCTTATTGGTGGTAAGAACTCCACATCTGTAAAGGAAATGAACCCAGTTGGAATATCTATCTATTTTTTTCTTCAGTTGTCATCTGTCTTAGACTTGACTCCATTAAAAATAACACCCACCCCATCCCAGCTAAGTTAATCTTCCCTTTTCAGTTTTTGGCTGTGAAGCCTTTTTGTAACCTGGGATGTTAAAAACATACTTCTGTATATTCTTCCATTACTTTTGACTTTATTTTTAATATGTAAATGTATAATTTATTCTGATATGAGATGGGAGGACTTTACTTTTTTCACATGGTGAGTTGTCCAATCACTCATGTACCCAGTCACCTTTATCATAGTGTGTGCATTTCACTGTATCATTCATTAGACTTGTGTATTCTTGGGCTGTTTCTGAACCTTTTGTTTCATTGATCTGTCTAGTCTGGTACCCCTCCTACATTATCTAAATTATTGCAACTTGACAGAACATTTTAACATCTGGTTGACGGGTCCTCTACTTCTGCCCCCATCTCCCAATATACTTTGTTTTCAGAGCTTTTCTAACTATTTTCACATGTTTTATTTTT